CCACTTACTCTTCTGCCATCCTGACAGCCTTCTAAATGAGATAGACAAGACCTCAGGACCTATTCCCGTAGTTGGATTATATGTATCTGAATATCATTTCTGTGCAGTCACTCGATTACGTTCTTTACTTCTACTTAGTTACTCTGAAGAAATGCTGTGGTCTCAGAGGGTAAAAACCATTTGTTTTTGTGGCTAATGGGACAGTTGAAAACACATAATACAAATAAAACTTTTGATACCCAACATTACACTGTTCCTGTGGATACTAGCAAAAAAACATTTTTTAAAACTGATTACAGATTTTTATTTTATTTTTATATTTTGTGTGTGTGTGGATGGGTTTATCTACCTATGTTCTGGGCTTCAGAAATTCCACAAAGTACAGACAAGACGGGTTGGGCTGGAGCTCCAGAGATGGCTGTAAGAACCATACATTCATCAAATCAGCGACTTCAGCACACATGCTCAGTTCAGACTGAGTTTTCGTGTCTCTGTGAGCAGGTCATAAGTCAGAGAGGCCGCCTGACCCATGCATGTGCCCGAGGCCCAGCCGGTTCTGGGAAGAGGAAGACAGTGGCAAATGGAGGTCCATCTGTGGATCTAAGACTCGCATTCGGGGATAGCTTCCAGTCACCAACGCACTGAGCGGAACTTTTGTTCCAGACCCTGGGAAATGCGCTAATTCCGTGATCTGAACTTCTCATAACTCCTCCTGTGGAGGGACTTCTTCGTTCTATTTTGTGGAGAAGCCGCTGAGGCTGAGAGGGGTGAGGGGTGTTGCTGGGTCACAGGGTTGGGAGGCACCTGAGTTAGAATTAAGCCCAGGTGGGGTGTTCCTGCCGCACGTGCTGCCCCGCCAGCCCCACGCAGCCTTGGGGGACTGTCTGCCGGACTCGGCCGCTGCGGTGGGACTGCCGTCTGTGCTGGGGGTCAGCTGTCTGCCTCGCCTCCATCGCGGCCTCAGCAACGGCTCCTGTTTCTGCTGGGCCTTCAGGTGGCAATGACTGTGCTGCAGAAGTGACTTCCTTCTAGAACACTCTTTCCAGTCTCCTAATCAGTTAAAGGAGAAACGTTGAACTGATGATCAAATTGTCCCGAGTGTACTCCTCAAACTGTAAAAGTTTCTCATTTGACATTTGGAAAGCTCTTACAGGACAGAAATGTCGGAGGCCCTTTGGCAAAAGGCAGACGCCCAGTTACCTGATGGTCTGAGGCCGAGGCCGTCGACCATCCACAGAGCGGAGTCCTGTGGCTGAGGTTGCTCTGAACGCCCAGCCCAGGCGGGAGGTGCGCCAAGGGGGGTGCCCGCGCCAGGGCCCTCCGCTTCGGGGAGGGGCCGCCGAGGGTCCCGCCAGGACACCAGCCCACCCCTGGCCCCGCTGAAGCTCAGGCGGGCCAGGCAGAGGCACTCCCACCTCGGGGTGTTTCTGGAACAGGAAATGGGAAATCTGACAGGAAGTGTTTGTCTTACATTATTTATCCACATCTTACTGCGATTTATGAGGTTCCTGTGAGCATAAGATTAGTGCTGCTACTTTTTATGGGATGTATAAAAGATTGTTTTCCTTTCTCTTCTTGCTTCTCTCTCTGAAAGACTTTAAAACCAGGACATTCATTTGTTTTTGTTGTTGTTAACCCTCACCCGAGGCTATTTCTCCACTGATTTTTAGGGAGAGTGGAAGGGAGGAAGGACTGAGAGAAACATCGATGTGAGAGAATCACATCCATCGGTGCCTCCTGCACGTGCCCTGACAGGCCGGAGGGAGCCTGCACCCGAGGTGCGTGCCCTTGACCGGAACTGAACAGGGACCCTTTGATCCGAAGGCCAGTGCTCTATCCATGGAGCCAAACCGGCTCGGGCTAGAACAGGACACTTCAGGGCCCTTTAAAGTGACTGAAGGTCCGCCAGGGAGCCTGTGTGGGTCCGTCCCTCTCCCCGCGGGGCGCTCAGCGCCGTAGGTCACAGTGTAGACGGGGCTGGACGAGGTTCCCGCTACTGAGGAGGGAAAGTAAACCCGTGGACGGGGCCCGCAGGAAAGGGAAGGTCGGCGGGCACGAGGCCACCGCTGCCCCTGGCCTTGCTCCTCCTGCGGCGTTTCCTGTCTGCCTACAGCTCCTCCGGCCCTCCTGGCCCCGCGTCGCCGGACAGTGCTGCGTGGCTGGAGCCTCCGCCACCCTGAAACGGAGCGCAGTTCCTCCGGCCTCCTCCGCTGTCCCTGCCCTGTCCCTGCCGGCCTCCTCCGCTGTCCCTGCCCTGTCCCTGCCGGCCTCCTCCGCTGTCCCTGCCCTGTCCCTGCCCTGTCCCTGCCTCCCTCCCTCCCGCTGTCCCTGCCCTGTCCCTGCAGCCTCTGGCTGCCTGCATGCCGTGGGTTGAGTCCAGGAGGAAGCTGGGGCATGAGTTTAACTTAACTCAGACTCTCTCCAGGGAGCACACACTGAAGGCCTGGGAAGACTCGGAGAAGCTGGCCTGTACCCTGTCAGAGGAGGGTGTCCCTGTGTCCCTGGGGGCCCGGCCCGTGGGTGCTGGGGGCCGGGCGGGGTGGCGGCTGGAGCAGGGTCAGCAGGCCTTGCGGCGGGCCCTGCCTGTGCCCGGGGAGGAGGGGAGGCTGCCCAAGGCCGGGCGCCTGGGCAAGGCCTGGGGGCTGCAGGGGACAGAGCAGAGGACGAGGCCGGGCAGGCACATTGGGACCATCTGCAAAGATGCTGCCATGGCTGGGTTTGTCAGCCTGAAGGCCCAATGGGATGTGGACTTTCAGCTTCATGTTAACTCTGCTCATGTGTAAAATAAGAAACCTTACATCATAGGGCGTTGTGTGGCTCAGCATGGGTAAGGAATTGAGGAAAAGGGTTTCAGACTTAAAGGGGCTGAGGACCTTAGCGGCTCTGTGCAGAAGGAGAGGCCATGGAGGGTGGGGGAGGAACCACTAGCTCAGGCCCAGCATCCTGTGGTTTGCCAGCCGCTCCTGGTGGAAGCGTGCTCAGCATTCCGGCAACCGGAACAAAAGCCAGTCCCGACATTAATTGAGCAACTACAGCAAAGCAAGTTAAACGTGCTGGTGTGTCTGCTTTCCCTCAGAACTTGTGTGTGAAGTGCTTTACATGCAGTAACTCATGAACTCTTTCATCTCACAGCCAGTGGTAGCTGCTGCTGCTGCTTCTCCCCAGGGGAGAGCTGAGGCAGGGAGAGGTGAGAGCCTGCGTGCCGTGGTCACGTGAGTGTTAGACAGGATTTGGATCCAGAGCCTGGAGTTCAAGCACAGGGGGAAATACATCAGGTGCCCGCCCAGCGTCCAGGGGCACTGGGCTGCAGCTGCGTGGGGGGGCCTCGGGCCTCCACCTGCCGCTTGCAGCAGCCTCAGCTGTCCCCGGCCAGGAGGCTGACCGCTGGCTGTGGCTGCAGGGAGGAGGGTGGGTATATCCCCAGAGACCACCACCAGCGGAGACTCATTAAAGACAGTGCTATTTATGGCGTCCCAGGAGACAGGAGCGTGGTCAGAGCTCAATACTTACCTTCAAGGAAGATATCTTGTCAGGTGTGAAAATTAGCAATTCCTTGAACGAACTATTAGGATCCCTTTTGTGTTAAAGCAGGAGGACATGAGAGAAGGGGGGGGGGGGGAGGTGGGGGCTGAGAGGAACTGTGCTGTCTCGCCCCTTCGTGTGACCTGGCACCAAGACTCCTGCCAGAAGCTGGTCCCCGGCTGTGCTCATGGGCATTCAGTGGTGATGCAGTTTAATCCCCTGAATTAAAACACTGTGCGGAGATTACCGCCTCAGGTGGCTTTAGTCTGCTCCAACTTCTGGGGACACGCACACAGCGGTGTTTCCGCAAAAGAGGGCTGTTTGCGCTGGAGCAGAGCCGGTGTTTTCAGTCCCGGGTCCGAGCGGAGCCGGTGTTTCGGTCTCTGTCCGAGCGGAGCCGGCGTTTGGTCTTTCTAACGAGGCCAGGACGTGTTTTCACCCCTGCGCTCGGCCCTGCTCCAGCTCCCGCAGGGGTTGGCACCAGAGACGTGGTGGGAATGCTCTGGGCGGTGGGTGAGCAGCCGCGTCGGGCACTGAGCGGGGAGCAGCCCGGAGCCATCGCTGTGGCCTTCGGTTCTGTTTCTGCCTCGTTAGTAAGTGGACGGCGGTTCCGGGCCAGAGCTGGGAAATCCAGGAACATTAGAAAATAATCCCGTTTAGGGTAGAGCTGCATGTAAACAGGTCACTTTAACGCTGAACTGGTCCTTCCAAAGCCCTCTGAACAGCACAAGTGTGAGGAGGCCAGACCCAGGCCGCCGAGAGCCCGCAGCTCCTGGTCACTGGGTCTCTCTTCCTCAGCACCTGGCCCACTGGGTGGCCCTCTCCCCGCCTGTCCTCCTCCACCTGCACACGCACGTCCCCTGCACGGCCTTCCGGACAAACCTACACGCGTGCAGGCCTTACAGGGCCACCTGACCCCGCCTGGCTCCCGCCCCTTTCCCCGCCCCACTCTCCCTCGCCCATGCACACGCCATTCTCTGCCCGGAATGCCCGTCCCCCCTTCCTCCCCGCTCACCGTCCTCGCGGGCATCCAGCTCAGCTGGTGGCACCAGCACGTGGCGTCTCCTGACGCTTTCCACTGAGTCCAGCAGGGTCTGTGCCTGGGCTCCTTCCCTGACTGGCCCTCCACCAGGGCTCCCCTCCTGCCGCCAGCACGGTGATCCCGCTGTCAGGGGGGCTGCCCACCTCCCTCGGGGCCGGGCTCCTGCAGCTCCAGAGGCCGTCGGTGAGAAGCCTGGACTTCCATGTTTTCTGTCCCTTCCTCAGAGATGATAGCTACCCTTAGCTATCCATTCGCTCTCCATCCTCTCTCCCCTCTGTCTCTCACACACCCTGTCTACACAGCATTCCAAATGCAGTCAGGACAGCAGCCCGGCCTCACTCATCTGGGCAGTAGGTGGAGGGCATGGCAGGCTGGCACAGGCCCCTCCGCAGCGGGCGGAGCGCTCGGCCCCTCTGACTGTGTGCCTGGCCTGCAGGACTTGTCCTACAAGGACCGGCACTGGCACGAGGCCTGCTTCCACTGCTCCCGCTGCGAGAGCTCGCTGGTGGACAAGCCCTTCGCCGCCAAGGAGGACCAGCTGCTCTGCACCGACTGCTACTCCCACGAGTACTCGTCCCGGTGCCAGGAGTGCAAGAAGACCATCATGCCAGGTCAGGCCCTGCGCACGCCTCTTCCCTCCCTGGGGGGGGGGTGGGGGGGTGGGGGGGGTTGTGTCCCTGGTTGTTTAAGGAGGAAAGTAGTTTGTTTTCTTTGGGTTTTTGCAGGAGAGAGAAATGTTTCCTTTTTAAAACTAGAGCGAACAAATACATGTGACGTTTAAAACATAAATCCTGTGAGACACACAGAAATGGACCTGCTGCTGGCACAGGTGCGGACTTGGCTGTGGCCAGTTTGCCGGTGGCACAGCAGGCCCGGCCTCCGCCCGCCCCCAAGCAGACCTGGCGGGTTAGCAAATAGGAGCACAGAGCTCCCAGTTAAGTCTGAGTTTCAGCTCATTTTCTAGTGTCTCTCCCATTGGGACCTTTCATCTGGCATCCCTCCCGGAGAGCTACATCGACCAGAGCAGCCCGTGCAGCCATGACTAAGTCCCCAGAGCCTGTCCCATGGCCACGGGCACAGATGGCCTGCATGAGCTGCCGCCGGGAGGGCAGGACTTGGGCCTGAGGGCTCTGGGCGGTCGGGAGGGTCCGGGAGGGCCCGGGAGCCACCACGGAGCCAGGCTTAGGCGCAGTGGCCCAGGGAGCACAGGCTGGAGACATCCCCTCTTTACACCCCTTCCCCACCACACACACTCACACACTCACTCACACACACTCACACTCTCACACACACACACACACACACACTCACTCACACACACACACACACACACACACACACTCACACACACACACACACACTCACACACACACACTCACACACACACTCACACACACACACTCCTTCACACATACACTCACACACACACACACCACACTCACACACACTCACACACACACACACACACTCACACACTCACACACACACTCACACACACACACACACACACACACTCACACACACACACACTCACACACACACATACACTCACACACACACACTCTCACACACTCACACACACACATACACACACTCACACTCACACACACTCTCACACACACACACACCACACTCACACACACACACTCACACACACACACCACACTCGAGACTGATGCTTTAGAGGAGCTCGGTCCTACGGGGCAGGTTTAGAACTAAGGGCGGGCACGTGAGGAGAACTGCACCCACAGAAGTGATGCATGAAGTAGTCGGATAAAGTATGTGTGGGGTTTTAAAAAGTTGGTCTGCAGAGTGAATTAAGCTAGTGATTCTGACTTACAGTATGCGGATTTAGACTTGTGATTTTAAATTGAAAATGTCTTCATTGACAAACTGTTTCGACATTTAAGGGATCTTATGATTCCCTGTGGTTGGAAGTTTAATTCATTTCAACAACAATTACTTAAGAACTCGAGGTTCACTTTGTTAGTTGAGGAGCTGGAGTCCGGTTCACCACATTAACGACAGAACCAAACAAAAGCCCTGGAAAGTGACGTTTAAAATTCACTCTGTCCATGAACGCAGTGATAGCCGTGCCGCGAACCTGAGGGCTGTGAGTTTGTTGCCTCAGCAGATTGAAGGCAGCTGGTCCCAGTGACCGGAAGGAAATGAAGGCGGCAGAGTCATGCGGGTCAGACTCTCCACTCTGCCTGCGACTGGTTGTCCAGCTCGAGTTTGTTTTACTTTTGGTTTGCTCTGTCTTTGGAAATGGAGATACTAGAGTTCTGAGCAAGAGACCAGCATGTGGGAGGTGTTATTTTAGGAAGATCTATTGCTTTAAGAAATCATAACCTTATAAAAGGCAAGGGCCTGATTAGGTCTTCAGTCAGTGGGGGCGTGCAGGAGGCAGCCGGTCAGTGATTCTCTCATCACTGATGTTTCTATCTCTCTCCCTCTCCCTTCCTCTCTGAAATCAATTAAAAAAACAAAACAAAAAAACTCTCCATCTGGAGAATCCCTCTGCCATGCAGGTTCTGTTAGGCAAGGTTTGCTGCCCCCTGCTGGCCATGTTTTGCAGACCTTCTGCAGGTCTGTGCCCACGGGATGCCCTGCGGGGGACCGGGGCTCCGAGCCCTGGTGAGGAATAAGACTTGCTTCAGAAGACACCAAGGATGCACTTGCACAGCGTTGCTTGGGGTCTTATGTTCACTGACAACGTCCTCGGCTGCTTGGTCAGAGGGAAGGTCAGAGATAAGAATATTTTCCACGTCACGTGCATACACACACACACTGAGTGTGTCCAGATGTTCTAGCAGCTGGGTGTACAGCATGGGCCCCTCTCTACAACCCACAAAGCCTCCCACTTGGAGGCGAGCCTTTGCGAGCGAAGCCCTCGCTGTGGGCAGATCGAGCGGTGGCCGGTCCCAGGGCAGACTGCGCCCAGCATTGGTCACAGCGCCGCTCTGTTCCTGCCTGTCGCCAGGCACCCGCAAGATGGAGTACAAGGGCAGCAGCTGGCACGAGACCTGCTTCACCTGCCACCGCTGTCAGCAGCCCATTGGGACCAAGAGCTTCATCCCCAAGGACGAGCAGAACTTCTGCGTGCCCTGCTACGAGAAGCAGCATGCCCTGCACTGCGTTCAGTGCAAAAAGGTACCGAGCCGCGGGGCCGCGCACACGGCCCACCGCTCACCCTTCCTGAAAGGTGACGGCTGTGACACTGGAACGGCACCAAAGTCACACCTGTCGCCCTCTGTCCATAATTCTCCTGTGCTCCGACACTGGCCCCTGGGACCTGTGTTCCAGGCTTCTCAGGCATGAGCACTGTGGTCTGAGAGAAAACCCTCCTTCCTTCCTCCCTCCCTCCCTCCCTCCCTCCCTTTCTTCTCCTTTCCCAGATGTGTGACTCGATGTGAGAACTTAGACCCCAGAGCGGTCTCTGTTATCTTGCTCTGGAAGCCAACGGCTGTGAAAGGAAAAGAGGCAGTGGGAGGGGGGAGTCAGGGGACAGCCGACCCGGGAGGGCAGACCGTCAGCTACCCGTCCCCAGGAGCCCGGGCCGTGGCTAAGTGGCCGTTAGGTTCGAGAGGCCAGCCCTGCACCCGGAGGAAGCCGTCTCCCTCCCTCCTGTCCTGTCCCCCATCTGTGCCCTTCGGGCGTAGCTTCCTTTCCTAGTCTCTGCTCACACACACACACACAGGCCCTGACACGTGAGGCCTGTGTCCACTCACACACACACACAGGCCCTGACACGTGAGGCCTGTGTCCGCTCACACACACACACACAGGCCCTGACACGTGAGGACTGTGTCTGCTCACACACACATACAGGCCCTGACACGTGAGGCCTGTGTCCGCTCACACACACACACAGGCCCTGACACGTGAGGCCTGTGTCCGCTCACACACACACACACACACACACAGGCCCTGACACGTGAGGCCTGTGTCCGCTCACACACACACACACAGGCCCTGACACGTGAGGACTGTGTCCGCTCACACACACATACAGGCCCTGACACGTGAGGCCTGTGTCCGCTCATACACACACACACACAGGCCCTGACACGTGAGGCCTGTGTCTGCTCACACACACACACAGGCCCTGACACGTGAGGCCTGTGTCCGCTCACACACACACACAGGCCCTGACACGTGAGGCCTGTGTCCGCTCACACACACACACAGGCCCTGACACGTGAGGCCTGTGTCCACTCACACACACACACACACACAGGCCCTGACACGTGAGGCCTGTGTCTGCTCACACACACACATATAGGCCCTGACACGTGAGGCCTGTGTCCGCTCACACACACAGGCCCTGACATGGTGAGGATTGTGCACCTGCACCGCCACCAGCGCCCTGGCTGCTGTCACGGGACTAAGTCACACCGCCCCACCCGCTTTCTGTCTGTGCCGTGTGCCCATCCCCTGCCAGCCACCTGCCTGCACCGTTGCAGAGGGCAGAGCATTAGGCTTTTCTTCAGTCTCCACCTCCTTTTCTTCTCTCATTTCCATTTTTCTTTTCCATTTTGAATTCCATCTCCCCTGTGCCCCCTCTCACACCACATGTCTGTGCTGTTTATTCCTTCGTCCCTTCATGGCCCCCTCTTCCCTGCGCACTCCCTTTTTGTTGCTGTTCCTCAGTGAGAGCCCGGAACTGCCCGTTAGCGGGTCCCTGGCTCGGCCTTCCCCACCTCACTGCCGGTTCCCGTGGGGAGATGCTGGCTGCCCGTGTGTGTTTACAGCACACGTGTCAGTGTTCATGCCAAAGACTCCTTCCTGCCTCTGAGCGGGGTGTGGGGTCTGGATGGCAGAGCGAGGGGGGCTCCAGATGGAGCATCTGCCACAGACACGCCTGTGGCCTCAGAGACACTTTGCCACCAACATAGATTGCATGGATTTGGATAATGATTAATTAATGAAGAGAATACGGGATGGAAGGAAATCCTGAACTCTGTACATACTTTGCATTTACTAGTGTTGAATTCTCAGGCAAGTCACTTACCGTCTCGGGGTCCCAGCTGTCCATCTGCCAGACAGAGCCCTGTCCGTCCGTATGAGGAGGGAGCAGACGCAGGGCGGGCAGGGCGTTCAGGACGCACTGTGAGTGCCATGAGCGTCCTCCGTCCTGCACGACAGCCGCGGCCAGCTGAGACCGGACTCGGCTCTGTCCTCATCTGTTGGTTAACTCAGTGGTCGGCAAACCACGGCTCTCGAGCCACATGTGGCTCTTTGACCCCTTAAGTGTGGCTCTTCCACAAATACCATGTGCGGGTGCGCACGTACAGTGCGATTGAAACTTCGTTTTCGGTCTGGGCGAGTCTATTTTGAAGAAGTGGCGTTAGAACACTCAAGGGGCCAAAGAGCCGCATGTGGCTCGTGAGCCGCGGTTTGCCAACCACGGGGTTAACTAAACACGGAAAGCAACAGTGCACACAGGAAGTAGCGGGTCAGGCGGAGGTGTTGCTGACCAGGGTGTGCCTGGCTCCCACGCAGTCCTGGAGCTGAGACGGGCAAGGAGGGGCCTTGGGGCCCTTCCAGCTGCTCTGCGGCCCCGCAGACCCGCCCCATGTGGCCTTAGCCTCTTCCGCAGCAGTGACTGGACCAGGGAGACCCGGTCATTACAGACAAGGCCCCGGGCCCAGGCCTTCAAGGTCAGGGCTAGGTTAGGGTCGCCCTCCTCGCCACAGGCTCCGCCTTCACCCCGGCACTGCCTCCTGCCCCTGACGCCTGCTCCCGGTCCAGCACCCTGAGGACGGAGGGCGGGCACCCTGTACCCCCGTCACTAGCAGGAAGCCAGGTCTGCAGCAGGGACTGAGGGCCGGGAAGCGGTTTCTCAGTGACCTTGAACCGGAACTGACGTTCCCTGGAGGCCGCTCTGCCTCAGGACCTGACCCCTGACCCCTGCCCTCTTGCCTCCCAGCCCATCACCGCCGGAGGGGTCACCTACCGGGAGCAGCCCTGGCACAAGGAATGCTTCGTGTGCACCGCCTGCAAGAAGCCACTGTCCGGGCAGCGCTTCACGTCCCGGGACGAGTTTGCCTACTGCCTGGACTGCTTCTGCGACCTGTATGCCAAGAAGTGTGCCGGCTGCACCAACCCCATCAGCGGTGAGTGTCTGGGGCCAGCAGGCCGCGGCCCTGCCCTCCTCGCGAGCCGAGGCTGACAGGGAGAGTCCGAACACAGGCTTGTTGCACGGAAGACCTTGCAGAGGCTGCGGCCGGTGCGGGTCCTGCAGGAAAGAGAGCCGTGTGTGGTGCTGGCAGAGGTCTGGCCTTCGGTTTGTAAGAACCCGGTGTCTGCGATGCGCAGCAGCGCCCCTGGCATTGGGGGAGGCGGCCCACGCTCTAGGCCTCAGCCTGAGCTGACCTTCCTGCCGGCCTCCGGCCTGGCACCCCGGACACTTGGACAGGGAGCGCGTGCCCTCGGGCTCACCGGGGCCCTGACGCCACGTGGGTGGCTGTTCCCAGGCCCTCAGAACCGCAGTCTGTGTGTCTGTGGCAGCCGTCTGTGCGGTGGCGGGGAGTTCCCCTCACAGCAGGCTGCCTCCCCAGCGTGCACCACCCTGGCCGTCGAGGGCAGAGGGCGGCCCTCTGGGTAGTTCTCTCCTCTCCCCAACGCGGGGCAAAGCGGCTGGCGGACAGACTCCGGCCTAACCTGTGAAACACAGGAACTCAGTGCAGGAACTGGGTGGCTGGTCGGACTGCAGTTTCCGGAGGGCTCCCCACAAGTGGCCACACAAATCGGGGCGCGGCTGGGAGGGAGAGTGGGAGACGATGCCAGCACAGAAGCTTGCAGGTTCCATCCCCAAACGGGTGCTTACAGGAGGCAAGCGATCCATGTTTCTCTCTCACACCCATGTTTCGCTGTCTCCCTCTCCCTCCTACTCCTTCTCTCTGTAACAAAAAGAGAAGAAAACAAGTAAGGCATAGCTGGGAGCCACTGTGGGTTCAGTCTGGACTTAGACCACCACAGTGCACCAGTGTCACAACAGAGTGAGCTGACAGCTTCCTGCCGGTGCGGGTCCGGCCTCAGTGTGTACAGAACGCCGCATGTGGGCGCAGCGAGGCGCGGTGAGCGAGGTGACCTCCCCCACCCTCACCGTCCCGCTGAGGGGTAAGCGCCAAGGCCCGGTCTCCCCCCGTTAGAGATTTAACGCTATTCTCAGCCTCGCCTGTTGAGTTACAAAAGCAACTGCCTTTCCACGAATTACAGGCTTCTCCTCCTGGTCTGAGACTTCAGCCTGTGCCAAGGGGGAAGTTAGTGCGGCTGTCTCATGTTTAATGTGGTAGATCAGAAAGAACTCTAATTGCAATTCATGATCTAAATCTCACCAGAATCGATCCCAACTCCCAGACAGCAGGACCCTGATCTACCTCAGTCCCAAGGGCTCTGAGGCCTCACTCTCACTGGTGACAGCAGCAGTACCCCTTAGGCATGTGACAGCTGTCAGTCATCAATCCGGGCCAAGCGCCCAAACTGAAAAGCATTCCCACCGTTTTGTTTAGAACCTGGCAGTTTTCTGCAGCCCACACACCTTCCTAAGCTGCTGCCTTGCCCTCTCCCGCCACCTCACGGCACGCTTCTGGGGCTTGTCTCTGGCTGCCCTCTGCAAGGAAGTGCACCCTCCTCCACACCCAGCCATCGTGCCTTTGGTGCGGTCCTTCCCGCATTCCAGGGAGAAGGAGCCTCTCCCCTCACCCTCCCTGGGAGCGAGCACCGCATGCACTAAATCGGTGCTGGCCACACGCCGTGAGGGCGCTCAGCTGTCAGTGCCTTCTGTCTGGGGGGCACAGGGCTCTGGAACGGGGTGCGTCCCACACGCTGCTCTCTAGCTGTTTCTCTTGGAGTCCTGGTGCCTCGGGCCGTGCCTGGATCCACTCCCAGGAACAGAGCCGAATCCCCCCCGGGGCAGCCCCGGCCCCCAGCCTGCTGTGCTCACCGCGTCCTTCCCCTCCGCCCACAGGCCTCGGCGGCACCAAGTACATCTCCTTCGAGGAGCGGCAGTGGCACAACGACTGCTTCAACTGCAAGAAGTGCTCCCTGTCGCTGGTGGGCCGCGGCTTCCTCACCGAGCGGGACGACATCCTGTGCCCCGACTGCGGGAAGGACATCTGAGCGCGGCTCGGCGCCCGCAGGCTCGGCCCACAGCCCCGTCCCCGCAGCCCCGTCCCCGCGGCCCCGTCCCCAGCCCCGCGGGGCAGCAGGGAGCGCCTCTCCGGCCGCACCAGGCTTTCCCCTGCTTCTCAGCGATAGTCACTAGTCATGTTGTGTAAACTCCCCTCCTACTAGCCCAGTCCCGGGAGGAGAAACCCTTATGGAGACCTGAGGTGGGAAGATGGTTGTCAATTGTTATAACCAAGCAAGGCAAATCCAAGTGCAAACTTCCCGCTGAATATCTTTATAAATGTATCTTCCTTTCACCGCATATTTAATTTTAAGTGCAATTAAGATGTCAGGAACTTGAAAGTAATGACAAGCTGGTCCCTACAGCTGTCGCTTCCTGACTGACGTGTGAGGCCCGCAGCGCGATTGTATGACTTGCAATAAAGCTACCCAGCACCGAGTGGGAGTGAGCGCACAGTCAGGCTGCGTGATCCACTGTGCTGCGCCGTCCGTGCACTGGCGGGGCGGGCCCTGGCGGGCGGGCATGTTGACTGAAACTGGATCACACCTTTCACTGACAAGCTTCCATCGGCACACGCTGCCTTCTCCGACCCCTCCCCAAACTCCTGGACTTAATGCTCTGACTTGATGCAGTGACATGAGTTCCGAGGGAGTCTGTGACAGTGAAGGCAGTTTGGGGCCCTGAGAGCTCAGAGCTTTCCTGTCGGGGAGCTTGCACTGACCTGCCTTCCCTCCGTAAGGTGCAGGGCTGCAAAGGGCGCCACACTGAGAGGCCGGAGATGGCAGCTCGCTCTGTGTATTCGCCGCCTGAGCATCGAGGGCATCTGGCGCCTGCAGGAAGTGCAGGATCACTGCTGTAAACACGCCACCCGGAGCTCCTGGCTGGGCAGCAGTCTGTCAGTCACCTGGAGAGCAGGCTACACCCCTGAAAGCACTGAGCGGTTTGTGAGCTCGAGCCTTGCATATTCAAAAGAGTAGCAATGCTGACCTGTGGTCCTCGTTTTCTGAGACAATGCCTCATGATAAAATGATAGGGTGTCCAATCAGGAAGAATATATGCACCCCTATGTTCATAGCAGTGCAGTTTACAATAGTTAAGATCTGGAACAGCCCAAGTGCCAAAAAAAAAGTGGGTAAAAAAGCTGAGGTTTCCCCTGCTGGTGGCTCAGTGGCTAGAGCACCAGCCAAGAACCAGAGTGTCCCAGGTTCGATTCTGGTCAAGGGCACATACCTAGCCTGCAGGCTCCCCACTCCATTTGGGGTGCCTATGGGAGGCAACTCGTTGATGTGGCTCTCCCACGTCAGTGTTTATCTCTTCTCTCCTTCACCCCCCTCCCTTCCACTCTCTCTAAAACCAATGGAAGAAATGGCCTCCAGTAAGAATTAACAACAAAAAAGCTGTGGTACATTTACACCATGAAATACTATGCAGCAGTAAAAAATAATTATCTTTACCCTTAGAGACAGCATGGAGGGACCTGGAGAGTATCATGCTAAGTGAAATAAGCCAGAGAAAGACAAGTATCACATGTTGTCACTCATGTGTGGAAGCTAATGAACAAAATAAACTCACAGCCGAAACCGGTTTGGCTCAGTGGATAGAGCGTCGGCCTGCGGACTGAAGGGTCCCGGGTTCGATTCCGGTTAAGGGCATGTACCTTGGTTGCGGGCACATCCTCAGTAGGGGGCATGCAAGAGGCAGCTATTGATGAATCTCATCGATGTTTCTAACTCTATCTCTCTCCCTTCCTCTCTGTAAAAAATATATTTTAAATAATAATAAATAAATAAATAAACTCACAAACAAAATAGATCCAGAGACACGGAAGCAGGGAACAGACTGAAGATTCCCAGAGGGAAGAGATTACCCAAAGAACTTGTATGCATATACAAATAGCCCGTGGACACACACCATAGAGTGGGGAAGGCCGGGGTAGCGGATGGGGTGGGTTAGAAAGGGTCACTGGAGGAAAGGGGACTTCTGTTAATAGTTCCATCAAAAAGATAAGTTGTTATAAAATGGAATGGTGCCAGGGAAAGCAGGTGGGAGCCCCGCCTGTCAGTCAGGCCGCCACTAGAGGGCGTCTGACCCCATAAGCCAGGCCGTGAGCCAGGCCGCCAGAGTGACAGTGAGCTGGAAGGTTTTGCCACCTTCTACTTTATAACGTTAACGTGAAAACATTCAGACCTGTAAAGAACTTCTGTGCGTTTATTGGAGCCAAGCTGTCGACAATGGATTGAGATAATGCTCCAGAGAATGGCGGGTTACATCTGTATTTGTACATTGCCATCAAAGAAGGGACGTAGGTGGCTTACATGAAATCCATTGGTGATGGACTAGAGAGGCGGGAGAAAGCAAAGCGGGAACCCCTGGGATTGGATAAAAAGTAAAATGATGGACACATTCTTAAATGGGTGCAGGAACAATTAACAGGATAATGAAGGAATCTGTGGTATCTGTCCTGGCGCCCAGCACATTAAGTTGTGCCCCAAGGGGTCCAGAAAAAGGGAAGTTACAAGTTACCCTGACATTTCAAGGGTATGTTATCATAGATGCAAAAGGACAACAGGCTCATTTGAGGTAAGGTTGGCCTTGTCAGTGAAGATACCAGCCTAGGAGGTGCCTACCCACCATAACTGCTTTCAGTTAAAGTTCAATTTCAGACCATCCTTTGTGGTTATTTTAGGTCTCTGAGTTTGCAAGACTGCCATGCAGGCCTCCCCTGAGCTTGTCAGGTCAGCATGTGGTCCCTTTCCTCCACAATAACATAAAAGCAAAAGCATTCTGGCAAATGGGCTTTTGAAAATAAAAATAGCAGTATTCCAAAAAAAATAAAAGCTTTCTAAATTTCATTATGGAACATCTTACTTGTTCCTGGTTAAAAACACAGCTACACTAAAAGTATCCAACCTTAAATTACCCAGCATGTCAAAAACACAGATCTTAGTGGCAAGCAACCACCAGGGAGCTAGTAGCTCCATGAGATTAATAGCAAAAAGCAAAATGGCAGACTGGCCAGTTTACCCAAAACCCAGGGAAGAAGTGCCTCAGGAGATCCCACTTGCCGCTGGGGATCCAGGAGACAAGTGAGGAGCAGTCAAGGACGGGCAGGAGACGTGAGAGCATTCGCCAAGCCACACACAGAGCAGCCACGCTCTTAGAAGCCTTGTCTGCTCAGAGGGCTGAGCTGGCTCTGACTGGCTGAGCATTATTGTGAACATGTTCAAAGACCTAGAGGAAACCATGCTTAGAGGATGAAAGGAACATTTATAATAACCATTGCTCACCAGAGTGAGAATACCAATAACGCGGTGAACCTTTTTAAAAAGAGCCAAATGGAAATTCTGAAGTCTGAAAGTGCAATAACTAACATGAGAAACCATAGAGAAGCTTGAGCTGGGAGGAGAGGAAATCAGGGAATGCGAAGACAGATCAATAAAGATCATGAAATCTGAAAAACAGGGGGAAAAGGAAACAATAAATAGAGCCTCAGAGAAATGCAAACCACCATTAAGTGCACCAACACATGCAAAACGGGGATAATGAGAGAGGAGAGGGAAAAGGGACAGAAAAAAAATGCTTTAAGAATTTATGGCTGGCCCTAGCTGGTTTGGCTCAGTAGATAAGAGCGTTGGCTTGCAGACTCAGGGTCCTGGGTTCGATTCCAGTCAAGGGCACATGCCTGGGTTGTGTGCTCCATCCCTCGTAGAGGGCATGCAGGAGGCAGCCGATCTATGATTCTCCCTCACCATTCATATCCCTATCTCTCTCCTTCTCCCTCTCTGAAGTCAATAAAAATATTTTTAAGAAGAATTAATGGCTGAAAATTTCCCAAATTTGATGAAAAACATTAATCCAAAAATTATCCAGAAAGCCTGACACACAATAGGAAAAAATGCAGAGAGATTCGTACCCAGACATATCAGTCAAAATGCTGACATGTTGAAAGACAAAGACAAAGGGAAGACTCCTGAAAGTTGAGGACTGCGATCAGAGCCGCACCCTCTTGGGGTCTGTGGAGCCCCTGGGCCTCCCCCCAGCTGGGGGTCACGACATTGAACACTTCCGACTGGCTCAAAGCAATGCAGCTCTACGGCAAACCACTTTGTGAACAAGACTTTTTATTAAAAGGAAATAAAACATACAGAAAAGTGCATAAAACGTCAGCAGGTAAAACAACGATGGAGGCGGAAGTCAGACAGTGAGTCATTCTTCTGGGGAAAGGGTAGAAGAGAACTTCAGGAATGCTGAGAGGGCTCTGGGCTTCCATTGGAAACACTCTGGCTAAGTCCTGCACACGGCCCTGTGTCCTCTTAAAAAGGTGTCTGGGAATATAGCCATGCCCACTCAGCCACACGACCTGTCCAGAGGCCTAAAATGTATACTGTTGGACTCTTTTTGGGAAGTTTGTTCTCTATCTTGATTTGAGGAGTGGTCTCTCTCTCTCTCTCTCTCTGTCTCTGTCTCTGTCTCTCTCACATACACACACACACACACACATAAATTCACTGAGCTGTAGATTTTAAACTTTACAATGTTATGACATTTCAGAAAAATGTATGTTATGCTTTTTTAGTTTCCTATACTGACAGTTAATATAAAGCAAATTTGCTTGATGTGTAGCAGATTGCTCCCATACCTGAAGCTCTGGGACCCGTCTCTCCCACCTGATGTTTTGGCAGCGCCTGGCACTGTGCGCGCTTCCTTGTGTGCGTGGGTGAGCGACCTGTGTGGTCCCTGCACCCAGCACCGCCCGCAGCGTCTCCTCTGCCCAGCAGACAGGGCTCCACGGCCTCGGCTGGACTAGTTCCCAGGAAGCCTCCCGGGCGCTCTGGCTGCAAACCTGCAGGAGCCTGCCTGCTACTCCTTCCTATCTCCCTGCTCTCTCTCCTTTCGCCCTCCTCTTCCCTCAGCAGACAGGCTGACTTCTAGTTCCCTCTATCACATGGGACAGGTGCTCTTTGGAGTCCTGGCCCCCAGGTTTCCCATCCTGCGGGGCTCGGGCTGCCTCCTCACCCTAACACATGGTTGATGGCGCATCAAATGGCCTACTCCAGTGGCCGGCAAACTCGTCAGTCCACCGAGCCAAATACTAACAGGACAACGATTGACATTTCTTTTGAGAGCCAAATTTTTTAAACTTAAACTTCTTCTAATGCCACTTCTTCAAAATAGACTTGCCCAGGCCGTGGTATTTTGTGGAAGAGCCACACTTAAGGGGCCAAAGAGCCGCATGTGGTTCTCAAGTCGCAGTTTGCCAACCACGTGCCTACTCTGCTGGGTTCTCGTGGTCTCTTATGTTTTTGTGACAATTCTTCGGGCCTTTGGATTTTTTTCAACAGAGGGATGTGTTCTGCTGAGATGTGAGTAAGAACAGAGGAAGGGTGTCCACGGCAGGGACACTTCCAGGAAAGGGTGACTGACAGTATCCATGGAGATCCCACACGAACAGCAATGCCCCGCCCCACCCCAGAGCCCTGAGCCTTGACACAGAGCAGACACACTTACAGGAGGCATGACAGAATGCCGGCAGCAAGGAGACCAGGAGCAGGAGCCCCTCTACAGAGACCCCAGGCTTAGGCACCAGGCACACGAAGTAGAGCTAGAAATGAGCAAAAAGCCTTACAATGCTCCCTGTGTGTTTAAATGCTCATTCTGGCAGGGAGGCTGCCTGGCCTTAGAGGCAGCCTGAGGGGCTCAGGGTGAGTAGGAGGTGGAAATAGAGAACTAAGATCCAGGAGACCCCGGCTCCGAGTGAACATGGGAGCCTGGAAGGAGTGATACTCACGCAAGGCCAGCGCAGGGGCAGGCTCCTGACGCAGCCCCGTCCTTCCGGGGGGAACTGCCGGCCACACACCTGCTGCGGTGACGTGTTGTCCGTTATGTCCCTCTCTCCGCTCGCTAGTGGGCCACCGTGTGAAAGCTGGGCCAGTGCACTTCACTCCAGGGGTGGGCGGGCGTGGAGGGGCCCAGGAAGGGGCCTGTCTCTGGTTTAAGAAAAGGGCAGGGTCCCCGTGTGGGCCGCTGCTGTCACCAGCCAGCGGCAGCCTTCAGAGTCACTCCCTCCGCACGCCTCCTCTTCCACAATCAGTGCTGCATCCCATTGCTTCTCGTCTGAAAGAGTGAGAAAAGCCATGGCTGGACTGCGTTTAGGGAGGGCATTATTCCTAACATGCAGCACAATTTGTTTTCTTACATTGGAGATGACTGTGGGGATGCAATCTCTGAACACTGAGAAGGAAAGGTCCCGGCATCACGTGCCAAATGCACATCAACTAAGAAGCTGACTTCTCAGCACGCCGACGGGATGAGAGACAACAGAGAAACTGGCACGGAAATCAGACGCCATCAGCAGCCGTCCCACTGGAAGCACATGAACAAAAGCC